TGGACAAAATGAATTTGTGGCGACACCTCTGGGTAAAAACCCCAACGCCATTTACCACCCGTCGGTGAACAAATTAGCATAAATCGCTCAGAGTGGCAAACAAATTTAAGCTATTCAAAACATAACTATTTTGTTTTATTGGAGTGAGGAACTAAAATAAAAATGTATAAAAAATGGTTACAGCAAGTGCCTCATAAAAAAATGAAGGTGTTTTCAAATATATTTTTCTGACTAATGAAGGTGAATTTGTTTCGACAATTTTAAAATACACTAAAAAGCATAAATTATATTATTTTGAAATATATTTTTCTGAATAATTAAGGTAAATTGGTTGATATTTATTTTCTGACAATTTTAAAATTTACTAATAAGTATAAATAATATTATTTTAAACATATTTTTCTGACTTATGGAAGACTTTTTTAAAAAAATTGTTTCCTTCAATTTTAAAATGGATTAAATAGTATAACCAGTCAAGCGAATGCATTTTGTATATAATTTTCCATACTCAAAACAATAACTTTAGGATTTTTATTGGTTAAATGTTATTAACACCACATCTGTAATTATCGGGTTCTGCTTCTTAGGTTGCAGTTTATTTTGTTGATAACACCGCATTGTATTCATGCATTTCGCTTTATCGAACGGAAGCGCTGATATGTTTGGGCCTGCGATGCTGAAAGGTCAATGAACTCGAGCAATATCAACGGCTGAAAAATCAGAAAAGGCTGACGGCAAAGACCCGAGAGCATATCAATTATTTGTACTGCAAGAAGTACGGGGAGTTGGGATGGGGGAAGACCAAGTGCATCGACGACGACGACGACGACAGGCGGGCGCCTTCGTAACCCCCGTCCAAGATTTCAAAATACCATGCCCATTTGCATTGATAATGCCCACAAGTCGGGGAGTCAGCGCGGGCCATTGATATATGGGCCTTAAGTGAGTTTTTTAAGTTGGCAGGAAAGGCAAAACACAAGAGGCAGCCTGAATCACAAGTAGTCGGCAAGTCGGGAAGTTGGGAACTCGGGAACCTGGGTACTCGAGAGGGTAAGGTAAGGGCGTGCCGTTGAAAGCGAAACCAGTCAACAAGAAAAAAGCCGAAAAATATATAAAAAAAAAAAGGAGTAACGAACAAGAATGACAATATAAGGGGGGATATGACTCAGCAGCAGCAACAGATATACGGGAGTACTGACAATAAAACCCAGAGAACTTGGGGGAGTTGCTGCGTTACCCAAGAAACTAACAAAGAATCCAAGGGAATCGGTATCGGAGGGAACTGAAACCCTTTTGTGCCCCGCAGGGATTACGATTATTGCCAGAAAACGCACAAAGAAGTGCCAACTAAATGGGAAATGAGTAAATGAAAGGCGATAATGAAAGGGAAATGTACTTGCAGGCGATATACATAAATATCCGGGCTGATTTCAGTATTATAAGTCACACAAAAAAGTTCGAGCTACAAGAAACTGATTAAAACCATGCTTAGGAGAGAGAACTTATAAATCTTAAATTTAAAAATAATATTAGTCATAATTAAAACTTAAAAAAATTATCGGAACAAAAATGACTATATTAAAACCAAAAATTTGGCATATCTTAGAAATAAATGCAAAATCGAACAAAGAAATGCGAGTTAAATGGTAGAAGTGCTCCTCTGGGAGTATTTCTACAGGGGATATAAATAGCTTATCCAGTGGCTGGCATTCCGTTCAACCCTAGACACACCCATTACCATCTCACCCCCTCACCCCCCTCAACAGACCATAAAACCCCCACCGCCCCTGACAATGAGTGCGTAAAGTGCGTTCAAGGACGGGCGACAGCTGCAATTGATGACAGATACGAAGGGGGTTGGGGTGCAGCAGGGGGTGGGGAGGCGACACAAGACGGGGGTGTAATGCGAGCATATGCAGCCGAAATCCAAAAACAAGTACATAGGCACACTCCCACAAACAAGAGCATACATACAGTGGCGGCCACAATGATAGGAGTTATTTTTAAAAGTTTAAGCAATAAGTTAAACTCAATTTTTGAGTAAGCCAACATACTTAAAATAATGGTAGCAACAAATTTAATCAATAAATTATAAGTGGTAAGTCTATTTTTTGGTAAAGTCCAATTAAAAGTATTAAATTTAAAAAAAAATTTCAACTTTCGGTTAGTATTCGCAATTAATTTGCAGCTTAGTACCTTTTTATGATTTTTTAATCTTTTATAATTGTTAATATAATAGCAGTATCTTAAACTACTACGCTTTTTCTTACTTTTTTTTAGTTTACAGCTGATACAATCATATTTTAAGCCCAAAATTTTAAGGTTCTCCTTATGAGATTGAAAAAACTACCTTTAAGATCTCTTTAAATTATGGTTTTTCATAGGCATGTTATTTTATTGTTTTTGACACATCGATTTTAATGCAACTTTACTTAACAAAAGAAAAAAAATATGAAAAATTTTAAATATAATTTATTTATCGGAAACTACTAGTGTTTCGACCTGAGCTGTTTTTCATGTGCCAACTCTTCGGCAGACTGTTGCGACAAAGGCTTCTGCGGGCGAAAACTTCAAGAAACAAAAAAAGTCAAGAAGTAGCTCGATGGGTGGGCAATCAAGGGTGTTGGGGACCCGTCTTCAACGAACGGTGGAGTGGGTTAGCATGGGTGGGAGGGGGTTTTGTCATTGTCGGTGTACCTGATTTCCGGCGAGCAGCGGAAGCATTCGATTGCCATTCCACATAAGCAGTCGAAAAAGCAGAGGGGAATGCGGGTGGGTAAAGGCTATATATTATACAAAGGTATTTATATATATATAAGATATGGGAGACGTTGCCATTAGCACAGGCAAAATCACACAAACAAAACGTGACTCAGTGAGGGGGGGGGGGGGGGTTTATGTGCTACAAGTCTACCTTCGTACCATCCATTTTCAGGGGAATTTCGCTCCTGGCATACTAATTGATCCCGAGAACCCAAGCGAAAAGCCGGCTAAAATGCAAAATCCTCATTGAAAATTATTGATTTGCCATTTTACTGGGGTAGGGCAAGATACAAAAGGGGGGAGTGCCCGTGTGCCAGGGGTTCCTCGGGGTTCCACGGGGTTCCAGGGGGTGATTGTGCAAAATGAGGCAGAAACGCACTGCGAAAACAAAAGAAATATCCATGACGTGTCGTCGACCGTCGCCCACCATGGGTCCAAAAAAATGTTTGTCAAAGCCAAATTGCAATTTTCCAATTGAATGCAATTTCTCGACAAGGATAATACCCTACTCTGTTACAGTGGTTGCTTACAATTTTGAAAGGCAAGAATAATTATAAGGTTTTTGGATTTGTAAACGATGATAATTAGGATTTAATGGTTTTAAGGGTACAAATAATTGAATTTGGGAACTTATTTGTTACAATTTTTTTAATACTATTATAAAAATGATTTAAAAAACTGATTTTTTTAATTTACTAAAAAACATTCCTTCTGTTTTTCTTTTGTCATAATGTTGCCTATAAGGCACACGCCCTGCATGCAACCCCATCAATTTTAAAAGGATGGATGTACTGGAAGAAAAACGAATGTGAAATAATGATTATCCTTAATTTGTTATTTTAATAATCATTTCAATTTAATTCAATATTAGAAAATATTAAACAAAATTCATATTTTTAATGCAAATCATTCAAATATAAAATATAAATCATCTTAGAGGTCCTGATTTTTTTCAGTGCAGACAGACGGCAGGACAAACGGAACTTACGGACGGAACGCAGCGGAAGAGCAGACACGGATACATACACACCGACACCCGGCACCAATACGACTGCAAATCGGATTGGATGCGTTTTGGAGCGTGGAAACAAAGGAACAAAAAGGAAACTCCGTGCAGCCGAACCAAAGGAAAGCAAGGAGCAGGAGAAAACGTAAACAAGGCAAAACTAAACTAAGCCCCCCAAAGAGAGCCAGAGAAACAACAGTTATGTGGAAAGGGGGCGGGGCCACAAAATAAAAGGGGGGCGGTGGCACCTTGACTGCGTGTTTATGTCTGTTTATAGTTGAACTTGAATGATTGAAACAGAGGAGTGCAAAAATGAAGAAGAGAGAGAGAGGAGGAATGCCAATGTCAAGGCAATTAGCCAGCCGAAAGCCGGTTGGAAAAATCAGCGGCAGCGGCTGGAATTGAAACTGAAAAACAATGCCACAAGGTGGAGCGGCCGAAGGAGAGCTCAAAATGAAATGCTAAAGTGAAAAATGCTAAAGCAAAAAAGGCGGAGAGGTGGAGAGGTTTTCGAGGGGCGGTGGAAAAGGCAGAAAAAAAAGAAAAACAGAAAAAACAACAGAAAATACAGAAAACAGGCAGCGAAGCGAACTGACAACTGCCATAGATTTTATGACTTGCAAGAGGCCCAGAGTAAAACCGTGGCCATTGGCTTTACACCTGGAAATGGAGCAGCAGCCGGCTCTGTCTAATTTGCACAAGACGTCTGGAAGAAGGGATGGTCGCGTGACACGAAAAGCGGGTCTCACTTACATTTTTCGAAATTCAAAACGTTTGGTTTTTCAACTTAAGGATCAACTGGAGTTTTGGAAGCCTGAAAAGTTTCAGTTGAGAGATAACTTAAAAATCATAGCCCTCACAAATTAATTTTTGTAAAAATATATTCACATTTTGATATTAAATATAGTTTTGAAGTTATCCTAAATATTTACTATTTTGTTTAACTTTTTGATTCTCATAAACCATAGTTTCGGCGGTTTCAGACCAAGGAAAGTCTGGAATTTATTCAAAGGACTCCCGTAAGAAAACCTTTTGAATATTTTTAATCTTCGCCAATTGAAAGTGGGCATATATTGCTCGTTTTAGGCAACAAATCTAACAAAATATTTTATTATTTTTTGACATTTCTGAAAACAAAAAAATCTACATTTTCGTGACACGACTGTGGGTCATCCCTAGCCTGGATGAGAGAGCCAGGGAGAGCCATCTTTGGGCAAGGAATTCCACTTACTTTCTTTGCTTTTGCTGCTCCTTCTTTTTGGCTCTTTGCTCTTCGCTGCTCTCGTTGTTGTTGTTGCCGCTGCTGGTGATGTTGTTGTCGGCGCTGTTATTGCTGTTGTTGTTGTTGCTGCTGCTACTACTTCTCGGCGAGATCGAGATGTCACTTAGTCGCTTGTTTTATAGTATTAGTTTGTTGCTTATTATCCTGTTTTTGCGTTTTCTATTTAGCACTCGCTCTCTCGTCTCCTTTTCGTCTGCCTTTTAGCCGGTGTTTTTTCAGTGCGTTCGTGTGCGTGTGCCTGTGTGTGTGTGTGTGTGCGTCTGTCGTCACACCCTTCACTTCGCCAATTCGAATTTCGAATATATCTAGGAATATCTGGAATATTTTGGCCAGCAATTTAACTTCTTCTTCGATTCACACTCACACAATGCAAAAAAAAAGTGAAGAAAAAAACGTAAACAAATCACGGTTGATTTTTGGGGGGCGGTGTAATTAACTTTTGTATTTTCCTTTATGTTTTACCCTGCTCGAAATAAGCAGAAGGCAATCGAACGCTTTGCTTTGTCCGGCTCTATTTTTGGTATGGCAGAAAAGGATTTTCACGATTCGAGATTTCTGATTGCAGGTTTTTCTGAGACGAGACGCATGCGCGCACAAAGTTTGCTTCTTGCGAGAGAGAGAGAGAGGAGAGAACGACCGCTCACGAATTGCACTCGAGTGGGAATGAAACCCGTTGCGAGCGAGGCCGGGCTATTTGTATCGCCCGCCAGAGATGCCGCTGTTGCAGTCGCGGCGGTTTCCCGCCAGATCGGCGCTCTGGTCGCACTGCAATCTGGCTAGTTTTCCAGCCGAAGCAGCCCTTTTTGAAGTTTTGATTAAAATAATAATAAAAACACTTATGCATAAACCGACTTGTATAAATGTTTTTGGAAAAACATCCTATACTAAATATTTTGTAATAAAGAATCAAGAAAGCTAAAAATCTAGAATTTTAAGTGTACCTAACCTTTTTCAGAGAAATGTTTATCCAATAATAATAAGGACTTTGAAAGTCTAAAAAAAAATTAAAATTTGAAATTAATGGTTGTTTAACTTATCAGCTGCATGTGAAATTTGGTTTGTTCTCGAACTTTTTTAAAACTGTCTTTATATTTTGATTATAAAATATTTCCATTTACATATTAATTTAAAATGACTACTAACACAGAGTTAGCGGGTAATGGCTGAGATCTCAGCACTGGCGAAAAACGAGCCAGATAGAGGTCGCTGTTGGCTAACAGCAACAGGGGCCGACGTCTGCTAGCCAACAGCGCTGTTAACTTTCGCGCGGGATTTAAAATCCGAAATCGTAACGGTGCCTGGGCAAAGGAAATGTGCATAACTTAAGTGCATTGCATATTTAATTGCAGCTGCAGCCGAAACTGCATCCGAAACTGCAGCTGGCCACCCGAAAGACGCGTCTCGGCGGTTTTGCTTGGCTGGCGACCGAGACTTTAGTCGAGATTCGGATTCAGATTGAGACTGAGCCCGCGGTGCTTTATGCTCTAATAATCCGCGCTGCACTTGCTTTTATTGGATGTTGCACGTTAGTTTCGGACCTCCGCTCCGATTCGGGTCCGGATTTCACCAAAATCCTTTAAATCAACACACATGAATATTTATGCCGATTTTAGATTTTACAGTTGTTAATTACTGAATATTACCGGCGGCCGTCTCCGCATTTCACGGCTCCTTGCCTGCCAGCAATCTTAAGCGAAGTTAATTATGGCCGCAAATTAATGTTTGACTGCATGCCAAGTCATTTTCGACTCACCTGTGTTTTTTATAGTTTAAACTTTAACAGCGCGCGCTCTCTGCGAAGTTTTTCGCCCCCACAGCACTGATTTTAACAGCTTTCAACGAGTCGTTCAGATACAAATTGAACAAACTTATGATTTTCTAAACACTGCCTTGCTCACACTTTAATTCTCTGCCTTTGGTTCTCTCAAAATGATTTTGTTTTTAACCCCTTCCAATTTGCTTTCTATTTTCCAACTAGACTCAATGAAATCGGATTTTTCATGGGAGTGCCTCTAACTTTCTGTGGCTTAATTGTTTTGATGTCAAATATTTTCGAAATCAATTTTTTTTTTCGAAAGGTAATCACCAACCATTGTTTATGACCAATCCGAAACCCTTTAAGTTTCCTATGTTTGGCTCACATGAAGCTTTCGTGCTAGCTTTCATGAAACTTGCTTTTTTCTATCATTTTGCCTAGATTTCTGATAAAATTTCTTTTGAAATGAACAGAAACTTTTGAATAACCGTTCTACTTTTCTAGTCACCTGGGCACACTGCTTGACAGCTGTTATATAATCGATGATTATCGATGTTTGTCAACTGGAAACAAGAGCAATCGATATTACGATCGCCTATTTCCCATCTCTAGTTATTAGAACCAATAACAAAAATTCTAGAGTGCATTTGAGTTTATTAGTTTGTAGTTATATAGCAAAATGCTCGTCTATTTCGGCTCACTAAATTAAGGAAGTTGTTGTAGCACGTTGCCACGCCCCCACCCAAAACAGTCGACCACCCCCCGCCTCCGCCCACAACGTGTGAGAGAGATAGAGGGATTAAAAGCAACAACAACACATAAAGAAAACGAAAGATTTCCGCAAGGAACCACCAACAAAAACAACAATTACTTTGGTGATTCTCGTAACGGCAAAAACAACAAGAGAATAAATTTAAATCAAAAAGAACTGTGCTCTCTGCTGTTGTGCATGTGTGTATGTGTGTTTAAGCGGTGTGGTGCGTGCATTACAATAATTGCACAAAATTCAAGACAAACGTGGGGCGGGGGTGTCTGTAAGTGTGAGTGCGACAGAACGCGACCTATACAGAGGGAGAAAGAGAGACGGCAACAACAAAGGGCTGTGATTTTTTTGACCCCTCCCCCGCCCCCTCACACAAACTCGCGTATTTACCAAATAAACGGAACACACCAACACAACACAAGCCTCAAAAGCTAGAACAACAAATCGAATAGTTTTGCTGGTGATTTGAGAGGGTGGAGAGGAGAGTGTGAGTGAGTGGGAGATTGGAAGAGTCGCTGGAAAAGTAAAACTGGCAGAGAGAGTGCAATGGATGTCCTGGAACTGCTGCGCGCCAGCGCCACCGGCGGCTTCAACACTCTCTTCTCGGACGCATGGTGTCAGTACGTTTCGCAGCAGATCACAGCAACGGTAAGTGCACTTCAACCTTTCTTTGTCTTTTTGTTTGCTTTGATTTGCTTAGGCAACGATAGTGAGTCAGTTAAGTTTGAGTTTAAAAAAGCGGCTGTGAAAGAGCCAGCAAAGGATAATAAAGGCAGCTGGAAAGCTTGCTAAACGATGAGAGGGGGAGGGGAGAGCCAGCCAGGAATACAGCTGTTAGGGGTTTGGATCCACACTCAAAGAGAGCGGGAAGAGAGAGAGCAAAGCTGTTTGGAAAGTGGATCTTAAAAGGACAACAGCTGAGCTGAATATAGGAATTCATTTTAAACTTGCAAATTCACTCTTATAACTCATAATTATCTATATCATTTTAAATGTTCATAATGAAAACGGCTTTATTTTTGTGATAACATCTATGAAGATTAGGGTGCCTGATAAAAAATCACTGAACGAGCAAGCAAAGCAAGTCTTAACGTCTAAAGCAAGGAAAACAAACTTTCTTAGAAAAACCACTTGAGTATTGAACACCTGTTGGAATATTAAATGGTATTCTGTCTGGCACTTCTTACAAGTGTGTGTGCCATAATCTTTATGGAAATTTTCAACAAAAAAAATGTACTATAATATTTTTGGCTAGACGACATCTTTAATCATCTGTAGGTAATAAACTATATAATTACAAACCACCTGTTGAAGATGAAGCCATCAATCAGATTTTGAGTACTTCAATATATTAGTGATAAAATCCAACAAGTTGTGGAATTTTTAGCCTTTTCAGATTAATTTTCCATTATTTTATAAAATCTTATCAGCTGTTTGGAATTAGAAAGAGAAACAGGATTCCAATCAGCCACAAAGGGTTCGTGTCCCAGCTAAATGATAAGAAGGCGAAAGGCAGGAAAAGAAAATGCAAATGGGCAACTTCCGTGTTTTGATTTGCTGCCTTCAAATCGAAATTGTTTTGTGGCCTTACATAAAACGAAAGAAAAACAAAAATACAAAAACCCACTGACTACAGTAGCCACATGATAACACCACACACGGCCACCCAATAATATTGATAAAGTCGGCCTGACGACCCCGAGAAAAAATATACGAAAAAAAAACTAAACCACAAAAGCTGATAACTATAACCGATTGCTAATCACAAGCACGTGCAATTGTGGGCGGGGGGGTGCGTACGAAATCAGTTTTCAATAATTCAATTAACCCCTTGGGGCCAAATCAATTTAGACGCCTTGTGATTGTGACTATGCGAATTTTATCTTTGTTGCCGTTGCCATGCGTGTGTGTGTGTGTCGGTCCGATTAGATCCAAGCAAATCCAATTGGATATCTGCGTAACTTCGGCTTCCAATTAGACCGACTGAGTCAATTGAAATTTATGGCATTTCTCTTGTACATTTTGCAAACCTGTTGTAAAAATAAACTGTAAACAAACAATAATGGCAAGGGGTAATATAAAGGTAGCAGTGGGTACACAGAGAGAAAGATTGGCATGTGACTGTAAAATTAAAGGCAATTTCATAAAATATTTAAACTTGATATCTTTTTTTATCATTTAAAAAAAAATATATATAAAATATAAAAAATATTTCTACAGATACTAGCACATAAATTTGATATTTTTGATGGTCAATTCCGAAAATAAATCCTAAGAAGCAAAATAAATATATAAAATCATTGCTAATTTAACCTGTTAAAGTGATAATGAAAAACGTAACTATCAAGCTGATGCTCTTTTAACTGTGTAGTATCAAATGCGAGAGTACAATGCGGAAACTGCAGATAATAACAAATGGGGGGCCAACAACAAACCATCAGAGAAACTACTGCCTCAACAACAACAACAACAAAACAAGTGCAACGACGTCGCGTCGTCGTTTCAATGTCAAAATGCTGAATGCAATAACAATTGCAATAGCAGCAACAAAAACATAAGGAAAACAACAACAAAGCACAGCTGATGGATTGGCTTGATTATACGGGCGTGACACTAGCTGGAAATCAGCTTTTGGGAAATTACAAGTGTCTTTGTGCTGAATAATTCATCAAGTGTCTCTGTGTCATTTTAAAAGTCCACTCAGTGAGAAAAAGCCTATGAAAATGGTGACAGACACGAAATAAAATTCTTTTGATATTTTATCACTTTAGATTAGATTCCTGATCTTGGAAATAGGAACTCTTCAACCTTTGGTTTTTATAAAAAAATTATCACACTAAAAATTTTACTCATGAAATCATCATAAATATTAATAAAAACACATTTTCCTAAAGAATTCGCGAAATTTTTCCTTCTTTTCCAGTTGCAATTTAAGAGCTACCTAATTTATTTCGAAAGTTTGCACGAAAATTTTTATTTCTTTGAGCAATTACAGAATTAGATGAGCGAAGAGTAGCTGGAAATTAGCTTTTGGGAAAATACAAGTGGTTTGTGCTGCATCATTGATGTAGTGAAAAAAGCAGGCGTATACCATATGGAATGAATTGGTTCTTCTACTGAGTTTGACTTCACTTTTATTTCGCATTTGGCGGGTTTTGCGTAAAAACATCTCATCTCTTAAAGCACTGGAAGTTTTATTAAACAGCTTACGGTTATCATGTTCTTTAATAACGCCAAAGAGAAGTTTCAAAACTTTGAAAACGTGCTTCTTTCTTGAGGCCTCCCTTGCAACTCTGTGAAATATACCAGATTTCGTCCTAATATTAATAGTTCTTAATCGGAACCAGTTCGATATTAGAATAAGTTAAAAAATTCGGCCGCAAAGAAAGTCAAAAAGTCAAACGCTTGACAGTCAGAAATTTATTCTATTCTGTGCAGTGAATTGTGTTAGATCGAATTGCGATGAAAGCTTTTAAAATCAAAGTAAGAAATCAACTGAATAAGCTACTAATATTGTGCCTTTCTTTACCAAATCTCCTGCAGATGTACATGTATTGCGCCATAGCAGTGCTGGGCTTTCTGTTCCTGGCCTGGTTCATGTACTTTAAGCGCATGGCCCGCTTGCGCCTGCGCGACGAGCTTGCCTTCATCCGTTCCCTGAGCGCGGTAACCTCATCCGGCGGAGATCTGCGCGGCCTGCGTTTCCGCAAGCGCGACAAGATGCTCTTCTACGGACGTCGAATGCTGCGCAAGATGAAGAACGTTAGTGGTCAGATGTATAGCAGCGGCAAGGGCTACAAGCGACGGGCTGTGATGCGATTCGCCAGGCGAATCCTTCAGCTGAGGCGCGACAACATGCCGCTGGAGATGCGCACCGTGGAGCCGCCAGCGGAGTATCTGGAGGAGACCATCGAGGGCAGCGATCGGGTGCCACCCGATGCCGTTTACATGCTGCATGGGATTCGCATCTTTGGTCACTTCGAGAAGCCCGTCTTCCTGCGGCTCTGCAAGCACACCCAGTTGCTGGAACTGATGGCCGGCGATTATCTGTTCAAGATAACCGATCCGGATGATAGCGTCTATATCGTCCAGTCGGGCATGATAAATGTGTATATCTCAAATGCGGATGGCAGCACTCTGTCGCTGAAGACGGTGCGCAAGGGCGAGTCGGTGACCTCGCTGCTGAGCTTTATAGATGTCCTGTCGGGAAATCCCAGTTACTACAAAACAGTCACCGCTAAGGCCATTGAGAAATCGGTGGTCATTCGGCTGCCCATGCAGGTGGGTTTGAAAAAGTCTTTGATTTGAAAAAGTCTTGGCAATCCCGAGAAAAAAAGGGTTGACAGGTTAACAAAATATCATAAATTTATATTATTTATATGAATGAACTTTGAACTAAAATGCATTTGTTACTTTCTCTCCACTTTCAGGCCTTCGAAGAGGTGTTCCAGGACAATCCGGACGTGATGATCCGGGTCATCCAGGCGATAATGATAAGACTACAACGAGTTCTCTTCACCGCACTGCGCAACTACCTTGGTCTAAATGCCGAACTGGTGCAGAACCACATGCGCTACAAGAGTGTCTCCACGATGAGTGGACCGATCAACTCGCAGTCCTCGCAATCCTCACGCCAGGCGGCCAATGGTCCGCCCACGGTGATCACCCAACTGAATCTAATGCAGTCTGCTGCCTTGGGTTCGGTATCGGGATCGGGTGTGGCAGTGACCTTGACCCGAGCACCGCCTTCGCCATCGCGTCATTCGCGCGAAGAGCACACGCTATCCGATACGAATCCCAATACGGATGGCAGTATTCAGGGCACTAGCAATCTATTCACCGAGGTGCACGGCGATGCGCCAAATGCAGATCTATTCCATCAGCAGCAGCATTCGGTGGGCAATCTGTCCACGCGTCGCGGTTCCATCACCCAGATGACGCCCGAGGGCTCGCAGGCCAGTCCTCAGGTACCGGGAGTATCGCCCTCGATAGACATGCGCCTGGTGCAATCCTCAGCGGTGGACAGTCTGCGTAAGGAGCTGGGTCTGCCCGAGGAGGATGCCCACATCATTGAACCCTTTGTGGAGATACGCGAACTGGAGCCGAATGTCACTTTAATCACCGAAGGTAATGCGGACGATGTTTGCGTGTGGTTCGTGATGACGGGCACATTGGCTGTCTACCAGAGCAATCAGGATGCCACGCGTGCCAAGCCGGACAAGAGCGACCAGCTCATCCATTTTGTGCATCCCGGGGAAATCGTTGGCGGACTGGCCATGCTGACGGGAGAGGCCAGTGCCTATACCATTCGATCGAGGAACAACAGCAGGATTGCCTTCATCCGACGTGCGGCCATTTACCAGTGAGTTTGGAAAATAGCTATACTAAACCCAAGTACTATATCTTTGATTTCCTTGACAGGATCATGCGACAGCGACCCCGCATTGTTTTGGATCTGGGCAATGGGGTAGTACGCCGCCTATCGCCGCTGGTGAGGCAGTGCGACTACGCCCTGGATTGGATCTTCCTTGAGTCGGGCAGAGCTGTCTATCGGCAGGACGAGAGCAGCGACAGCACATACATTGTCCTAAGCGGACGCATGCGTTCGGTTATCACGCATCCCGGTGGCAAAAAGGAGATCGTCGGCGAATACGGCAAGGGGGATCTCGTGGGCATCGTCGAAATGATCACGGAAACGTCGCGCACCACGACGGTGATGGCTGTGCGCGACTCGGAGCTGGCCAAGCTGCCCGAGGGCCTGTTCAATGCCATTAAGCTGCGCTACCCCATCGTGGTCACCAAGCTGATTAGCTTCCTTAGCCACCGCTTCCTCGGCTCGATGCAGACGCGCTCGGGCAGCGGGGCGCCGGGCGCGCCCGTCGAGGCCAATCCCGTCACGCACAAGTACTCCACGGTGGCCCTGGTGCCCATCACCGACGAGGTGCCGCTGACGCCCTTCACCTACGAGCTCTACCACTCGCTCTGTGCCATAGGTTCGTATGAAACCAGTGAACTCTACAGTTCGTATGCCAATAATTATTGATAATAGTTTGATTGATTGATTCTTAAAGCAGCAGGTTGTTAGGTGTAGCTAGTAACAAGGAGGAAAATCCTATAATCCTATGATTTTTTGACATGCACAGACGTTTTAAAACCATTTGGTTTATGCATTTCCACTAATTTGACAAATACACATTTTTTATAAATATTTTTTAGGATAGAAAAAGCATGTGCTATAACATTCTTAGAGTCAATAAACTTATTGAGTAAGTTGTTAAGCATAGGAAAAGGTAATAAGAATTTAGAGTTCCAAAACACAGTCAGATTTCAGCTTATAGAATATTTTATACTTTTTCCGCTATGATTTATTCAGAACACGATGGATAAGTCCGGTAACGTTTCACATTGCTGCACTGTAGTTCCGAAATGCCAGGTGATTTTAATGTTCTTCTTCTGTTTCTTGACTAGGACCCGTCCTCCGTTTGACCTCCGATGTGGTGCGCAAACAGCTCGGTCCGAACATCTTCGAGGCGGCGAACGAGTACCGGCTGACCTCGTGGCTGGCCCAGCAGGAGGATCGGAACATCATCACCCTGTATCAGTGCGATAGTTCGCTGAGTGCCTGGACACATCGCTGCATGCGCCAGGCGGACGTCATCCTGATTGTGGGCCTCGGCGATCGCTCCTACCTGGTTGGGAAGTTCGAACGTGAGATCGACCGGCTGGCGATGCGCACGCAGAAGGAGCTGGTCCTGCTATATCCGGAGACGACCAATGCCAGGCCGGCCAACACGCTCAGCTGGCTAAATGCCCGACCCTGGGTGACCAAGCACCACCACGTGCTCTGCGTCAAGCGCATCTTCACGCGCAAAAGTCAATACCGCATTGTAAGTTAATTTGTCTTTGAAGTCTTTAATCGTGGGCTACTTTCTATAATTTTCTAAGCCATCTCTAGCCCCAGGAATTGGTCAGTTAATCAGATTAAGATGTCTTTCTGGAAAGACACCATTGTTTAGATTATAGTACCAAAACATATCGCTCTGGTAGTTTATCGCTTAACGATGGCTCCTTTATTCAATTAAACTTCCGTGGCGCCACTTTAATAAAGATAACACAACCTGATTTCAAGGACATATAACCCAATATCAAATGTTTCACCAGAAATCATAAAAACGTGACATGTCACGTCATACATAATATTACTCCATATCTAAGACAATTAACATTGAACTAATAAGCGATTTGACATAAAGATTAGCATGATAACCCCAGAGATTAGGTCTTTATTGACACCCTTCAAATAATATTGATGTCTGACGCAATTTTCGAGATAGGGTAATGATTAATGCAAGTCTGTTTTTATAGATACATGTTATATATAGATCAGTGTTACAAGAAAAATTAAGAATATTTATTGGTAAACTGACTCACAGATCTCTTATCTTACAGAATGATCTCTACAGTCGCGTCTTGCTGTCCGAGCCGAACATGCATTCCGACTTCTCGCGTTTGGCCCGCTGGCTTACGGGCAACTCGATTGGCCTTGTCCTGGGCGGCGGAGGTGCGCGCGGTGCCGCCCACATTGGGATGCTGAAGGCCATCCAGGAGGCGGGGATACCCATCGACATGGTCGGTGGCGTCAGCATTGGCGCCCTTATGGGAGCCCTCTGGTGCTCGGAGCGTAATATCACCACGGTTACGCAAAAGGCGCGCGAGTGGTCAAAGGTTGGTTCTTAAAATACCATTTATGTATATTAGGCCTAGTTCGGGTTTTACTTAATTTTGTATTATTTAAACTTTGAGTTTAGTGGACTTTCAATAGTTTGAATAAGTAAATTCCAGAACGGGCAATTCAATTCCTATTATATTTTACCATAACTAAATTACTTAATTATTTAATATTTAGAAAATGACGAAATGGTTCCTACAACTGCTGGACCTCACCTACCCGATCACATCGATGTTCTCCGGACGGGAGTTCAACAAGACGATCCACGACACTTTCGGGGATGTGAGCATCGAGGATCTGTGGATACCCTACTTCACCCTCACCACCGACATCACCGCCAGTTGCCATCGCATTCACACCAATGGTGAGTCAGACCGGCTCCGCATTTGTCTTCTCGCTCTCTCTCTCGCTTTGTATGTGTCTGTCTCTATCATTATCTGTCTCTTTCTATTCTGTTTTTAGCGCAGTGGGTATCGGTTAATAGGGTTTATTAGTTATTGGAATTCTTTTTGGAAAATCAAAGATTTTAATTTAAATTTCATTTGGTTTTGGTAATCATTAAGATTTGTATTGTATTACATTTTACACAGTAATCACCGCAAATTGATCATTGTTTTTAAATGGTGAAGATATTAAATTAAATTACAATTGGTACAGTTTTTAATCGTAAAAGATCCTTTCAAATGATTGCGCTATTAAATTTTTGACTATAATTTAAAAATTTGATCTTGACTTAGACATTTAAATTGACATTAAATAGATTTAAAATAATTTTTTTTATAACACTTCCTCTGCTTTACATTTTGATTTGCTTTTATTAATAAGAACATTTGGTTTTTGTTTAAACGAGCTTATCGAAAATAATTCCTGGGACTTCCTTAACTAATAATCCCTTGGTTCCTTCTTCCAATTTGCTTTTGTTATGTTCTGTGATCCCTGATCCTCCTTTGATCCTTTGGTAGCCTTAGAACTGAGTGTACCCAAAAATGAAAAAAAATCCAGACAATGAGACACACACACGAGCACGCACCCACCCTCCCACAATCACACACAGCCTCATTCCATGGCCCGCAGTTTTTAGAGGCAATTTCACATTTCTAACTGTTCTTTTCTGCCGTGGAATCAATCGACTTGTTATCGGCGTTGCGCTGCCAATCGAATGTGCTGTTATGTTTGAATTTGAAATTTAGCAAATTAAATCAAATCTCATTGTTGTTGCTGTTGTTGATGTTGTTGTTTGGAAAGCTTGTGCCAAAAATGGCAAATCAAAAATCGGCTTTTGTGCTTTTTGCTAGAGGCTAAACTTGTTGCTCCCCCATAATAACCTCTCAACCGCTGCCCCCATTAAAACCCATTCCATTGGTGCTCCCCATCCCAAAAATCTTCATTTAATTCCCCATATCCTCGCCCAAAAAAAAGAAAAAAAAAAGATCGCTCAAAGCAATTTTCTCTCAATCTCTCTTATTTTTCTCTTCTCCTCCCCCTAAAAACACAACAAAAATCACACCTAAACAAAAACACACACCTACCGACTTATCATTGCTGGCATGTGTCTGTCGTTGATATATAATACCAGGATCTCTGTGGCGTTACGTACGCTCCTCCATGTCGCTCAGTGGTTATATGCCGCCGTTGTGCGATCCTAAAGATGGGCACCTCTTGCTGGATGGCGGCTATGTGAATAATCTGCCAGGTAATTAGCACTTAGCACTTAGCAACTAGCAAATACGATTTAACAAAAAAAAAAACAAAAAAAAAAACTTAACCCCGAGCGTTAATCCAAGTTCTCACTTTCAATTTCCAATCTAGAGCTGAGTTTTTCGGCACACAGAGCGCGCAGAGTGTTGGAAATTCCACTTGTTCGATCATGCTTGCCTGCGTTCCGAGTTCCACGTTCCTCACGTTCCATTCCATTCCGTTTTGCTCCGTTTCTTGATCCCCTGTATCCTCAAAAATCCTTGAGATGCTGTTATATTTGTTGTTCTTGTTCTTATAGATGTATAAAAGTTTGAGAGTTTTTTTGTGGGCTGGCAATGCTGTTGCTGCCTATCGATAGCTTCGCGTCGCCTGCATTTCTAACGGTAAAATCGCATATGTTTACACCCTCTGTCTCATTCCCACCCACATAAACACACCAGACAAAGCACATTTACAAACTTACACCTACACCTACGACTGAGTGCACAAAGTTTCTTTGGCTTTTCTTCTATCTTTTTTAGTTTTTGATGGTATTTTGAGTTGCATTTTAGTTTGATTTCCCATTTCGTTGTTTTTGGCCGTTTTGTTGTATGCGTATAAGTAAAACCGATTTCATTTGTAGTTGTAGCACTGAGATAAACCGTTATTTCGTGGATAAAAGTGTGTCTTTCTCTCTCTCTCTCTCTCTTTATCTCTGAAACACATGACCTCTCTCTCACACAAACACACCACAACAATTGAATAAAACAAAAAAAAACACCAAAACTCACGTGTCCGTGTCATCGAATACAATCCACAATGTTGTACTGTTGTCGTTTTGTCCCACCTGTGGTTTGCTAACCGTGGCAAAAAAAAATCAGGTCACCTGTGGCGGTACTGCCGCGCCAGCATGTCGATTGCCGGCGTTTTCCCGCCATTTTGTGATTACCGCGACGGCCACCTGCTACTCGATGGCTGCTACACGAACAACGTGCCAGGTAAAACGATAAAACGGCATCCACCTCGGCGTTCCACGATCCACGCTCCAACGTCCACAACGATTGCAATTCCCATTCCAACGCTCTGCGCCGCCCCTGCGTTCGCTCCAGTTTTGGAAATCGAATTCCAAGAAAGACCCCCCCCAGCATCTCGGTTCTGTTCCAAAACCTCTGTTCCATTCCGATTAAATTTATACCACATAACCTTAACCTGAAGAATTCGCGAAATATTATATTGTTTTAATCGATAGAGATAAAATCGGATAGTACTTGGAAATAGTTCTGATATGCTGGGGGGTAAGAATAAAACTAATCCAAAAGCGTTTATAACTGCGTTATAAATTTTCTTGTATCTATTATTATTAGTTTAAAGAACTATTTAACTGTTTTTCAACAACTTTTTAATTTATAAAGAGAACAAGATAATACTTTTAAAATCGCAGCTGTAAACGCAATTTTTAACTGGTAATACCAACAAGAAAATGAAAACTAACCAACATCTGCATTGCATCCACATCGACCACCCAAAACACGACACGCATGCTCGCCACCCCATTTCCTTGGTCACCGATTTAGCCGATGTGATGCACAATCTGGGGGCTGCTCACATAATCGCCATCGATGTGGGATCACAGGACGACACCGATCTTACCAACTATGGCGACGACCTGAGCGGTTGGTGGCTGCTCTACAAGAAGTGGTTTCCCTTCACGACGCCTGTGAAGGTGCCCGACTTGCCGGACATCCAATCCCGACTTGCCTATGTGTCCTGCGTGCGCCAGCTGGAGGTGAGTTTTCGTCCCTTGGATCTGAAGATTTCGCGGTTTCCTTTTACAAACAGCTTAGAGCTCAAGAATTCGCGAAATATAATACGAAAATCTTATAATCTAGCCATATTTATCAAGACTAATCCGATATCTATATTTCATTCTTAGGAGGTCAAGAACTCGGACTACTGCGAGTACATTCGACCCCCGATCGACAAGTACAAGACCCTTGCCTTTGGTAGCTTCGACGAGATCCGCGATGTGGGCTATGTGTTCGGGAAGAACTACTTCGAGAGCATGGCCAAGGCGGGCCGGCTGGGCCGCTTCAACCAGTGGTTCAACAAGGAGCCACCCAAGCGGGGCAACCACGCCTCGCTCAACGAGTACACGTTCATCGATCTGGCGCAGATCGTGTGTCGACTGCCGGAGACGTACGCGGTGAACACGGCGGAGCTCTTCAGCGAGGACGAAGACTGTGATGGCTACATCTCGGAGCCGACGACTCTCAACACGGTAGGTTGATTGAAAAATCATTGGAATATCAATGGCAGTTACTATCAATCCACTTCTTCACAGGACCGACGACGCATTCAAGTGCCGCGTGCTGGCAACTCGTTGTCCTTCTCCGAGACTGAAATGGATTCAGATCTAGAGATTGACCTGAAGCTGGAGCGCAAGACGGACAAGTCCACACAGTCCACACCGCCGGCGACCAGCAGGACCAGTTTGCGCGGCAAGGAAGAGGCTAGAGGCTATGTGGAGGATCATCGTGATCGCGACTGGCACTGGGGTGCAAAGCACAAGGATGCGACTGACGGTGGGGCCACCACAGCCGCACACACTCTGACTGAGCAGGAGCAACCGCAGCAGCAGCAGCAGCAACAGGAGGATCAGGACGCCAGGGCGGAGCAGCTGGTGGACAAGGACGAGGACAAGGAGAACAGGAGCAGCGCGAATAACGAAACCAAAAACTAGCTATATAGACAAGCCAACCGAGGCGGGATATCTACTCAACAAAATGCAGAAACAGCAACAGCAAAAGCAACAAGCCGAGGACGACGAGGTGCCTTCCGCTTGCCCGACGCCCAACGGCAAACACTTCACCAGCAAACCAACCACAACCACAAACTACTCAATCATCCAATCTCCAAAACGAAACAAACTAAATAGCAATGACAAGGAAATTTGTTAACCTCTAGGTTTTATAGCAACCAAGACTTAGGCTTAGCTTAGCATATGGAATACCCACATCCCACATCCCGAATCCTCATTCACAACACAATCACACACACATTGTAATGGAGGCACAAGAAGTCCACAAACTTTGTATATACATATAGTTATATATTTTTACTGAAGCAACCGATATTGTAGCCACGAAACTGAGACTCCTTTGCAATGATCCCCCTAACAAAATCCCGCCCCCCAATTTTGCCGCACACTTGTGTAGTCTCTCTTTTATTTTAGGTAAGCAAATTCTTTGTTTAATGGTCGGATTTTTTTTGTAAGTGCAAGCAAATAAATTTAAACAATTGAAAGTACAAAAACAAGGAAAGTGGTTTATTGTATTTAAAAAAAAAAAACAACTGGTTCTAACGAAACATTTATTTTGATTTGGAACGAGGTACAAGTCAAATGGGTTTGCCAGCGTCCAAGAGTAGTTCGTCTAGCAGCTCGGCCATAAAACGAGGATCCACCACGAGGTAGGGTTCCTCCACCTGACCAGGAGGACTCCCGTGCTCCAACTCACAACAGTTGACGGGATAGAAATAGACATACTCCTCCATTTGCTGGCGGGGCTGGGAGGATCCTGTGGCATCCTGGAGCTGCACATGCCGCCGACCTGGCGGCTGATGCATTTGCAGCCGATGACCCACGACAAGCAGATTGTCCTTGGATGATGAGAACTTAAAGGATTTGTGCGGTTGATTCCTTCTTTTCTGTGTCGTCGCCTGTTTTTGGTTCATCGGCATGGCCACCTGCTGACCGCCGCTCATCCGCATCCACATCTGCTGGCCGGGATCGGCGGCGTAGGGCGGCTGCAGGAGCGGATCGTGGAGGAGCAGGTCGCTGGATCGCTTGCCCGTCAGCCGCTTGAGGCGTCTCCCAATCCTGTCCCACTCCTTCCGTTGACGCTGATGGGCCTGCTGCAGTCGCCAAAATGTTTTCTCCTCCATAATGGGCCCGTATTTTTTTTTTTGGTTATTTTTTAAATTTCAAAAGGTTGTCCTAAAGTTCCCCCAGTATTTTTACAATCGAAAAATGGTCAGACGCTTGGAATTTAGCTAGCCTGAAAGCCAAAGTCCAAGTAGGCCTATTCCTTACTGTCCCATGTCACATTTTAACGTTGTTCGTCTACGGAACCAAAATCTCAGTCTTGTGGGAAATTTTCACGTGAAAAGACCTCGTTTTCCTTTCTTACTGCCGAATCGACTTCTAAATTATTATTTTTTAACTGAAATTTTTACCGTGAAGCCGGTTTTGTATAATTTTTGTCATTTCGGGCTACCGCTTTTTAGTTTTTGCTCGAGATATATCAAAATGAAAAGACGCGGAAATAATAAAGGTAAAAAAAGAGATAATATCAGAATTTTGTGTTTCTTGATCATATTCGCGATTGAAACAAGGCAATAAACAATTGTTTTTAGACAAATTTTCACGTTTAAACCCATTTTTTTTTCATTTTTTTTTTGACAAGTTAAATTTTTTTTCTAGTGACTTGACGTTTGAGCTGCCATACAAAGTAATACAATTATTTTATTGACAATCAATTTATAAAACGCTTTCTAATGCTGAATTATAAATATATAATACACATTTTTAATGATTTTTAAAAAATTTTAAACCGTGAGTTTTATATATAACTGAAAAATAAGTAAATTTCCAAGAGGCTTAGCTAGAGATAATAAACATAATGCAAAACATCCTGATTAAATGGGTCCACTTCCTTAATTTCAGGAAAGTCTGGAGCCGGCGTGTTGGAACTGCACCAAGTGAAGCGCTTGGACATGTCGGACCAGGTGGCCATCGTGAAGAGACCGAAGTACATGCCCAATCTGCACAACCTGGTCATGCCGCAGATATGCTATGAGCACTCCAACCGCGTGGTGGCCGCCCGCCTGTCCATCGAGATCCATAAGCACGACCAGGATGCGGCCGATTTCTTTGAGGGAGCGGAGGCGCCCTGCTTGAATGTGCCGCGCACCCTGTTTCCGAATCGCGCTCCTGTGGACAAGATCATCTTTATGCCCAGACTGCTGCTGCCAGTGGGCTTTGATGCCGGTGGGGTTTTTGCACCAGGTGCCATCCCAAAGCGTTTCTATCCCACGGGTCTGATGCCACCCAGTCACAAGGGTCCAACGCCGCCCCTGTTCGTGGGTCTGCGCACCAAGGACTTTCAGTTGTCGGTTGAGGTGCAGAAATTGTTGGAGATGGTGCCTCCAGCAATTACCACGGTGCTGCCCACCACGCCACCGAAGATGGAGACCAAGATCGACATTGGTTATACCCCGAATTACAGGCCACCGCCCCTGCCCAACGCCACCGCCAAGGATCGTGCCGCCGAGGGGCCCAGCCTGGAGATGCGTATGATTCGCCATGATGTCACCCTGTCGTTGGTTTACACCACACCGACTGCACCGAAGCCACTCTCAACCTATCCATTCCGTCATCTCCCGGTGCAATACAACATCTATACACCGGATCTATCCAATGTTCTGATGGTCATGTCACGCGTATCCAACCTAACAATGGCCATTCTCTCCACCATCGTGCATCCACATGCGCCGGCAGTGGCCATGGCCACCATGGGCGATGAGGAATGCCCGGATTTCGAGCTGCCCTCGGAGGTTTTCCCCACCTGTGACGGCCTCAAGCGTCCCATATTTCTGCCCGAGCGCTTCCAGCCCAAGGGATTCAAGGCTGGCTGTGTCTTCAAGCCGGGCAGCCTGCCGGAGTCCTTCTTCAGGGGTAATTTTTGGAAGGCCGGAACACCACAGCCACAACATAGCAATGGCATAACACCACCGCTGTTCGTGGGCCAGTTCACTTGCGCAAGCGCGGCCAGTGCCTTTTTAAAGACGATCCAAGAGGAGGGCAACCAGAAAATGGCCGATGCATCCGGATCCTCAGCAGAGGCATGTGGATCTGGGTCTGTTCAGACCGTGGAGTTCAACCCAACGAAGGTACGCTGCATGACCAAGGGCTTCTTGTTGCTAGAGACCGAGGATCCGGCCACACCACCGGGTGCACATAGCTTGAAGAACTACCTGCATGCCTACAATGCTGGATGCTTTGTGAAGGTTACACGCGAGGAGGTAACCGAGGAACTCGAGGAGCCTGAGGAACCCATAGTACCCACCGCTTTCTCGAGAATCGGACTGCAGTGCTGTGCCGTATGCCGTATGGATCCAGCTAGATGTATCATGAACCGCACGCGAAGCCCAGATAGTACGGATACGGAAGAGTTCTTTCCGGAGGAACACAAAAAGGAAGCAGAGGAAAAGAAGCCTAACGAAGCTGGATCTATCAATAACCAGTCGAAAACCCCAGATCCGGAAGGTTTGCCAGAAATACAACTAGATGATACATACATTGTAACCGATCCAGAAGAATGCTTCGAGGACAACGGAAAGGAATTAAACTCTACCGAACACGCAGCTGGATCCATTATTAACCGACCGGGAACCCCGTTTCCCTGTGCTTTGCCGGATATAATGCTACATGATAAAACATACGCTAAAACAGATCCAAAAGAATCCCTTGAGGGGGAAAATGGAAAGGAACCGAAGGTAACGAAGACTATCGAATCCACTAGTATGAACCGACCGGGAACCCCAGTTCCCCGTAAAATACTACTAGATGATAAAACAATCGCTAGTACACATCCAGAAGAATCCCTTGGGGGGGAAAACGAAAAGGGACCAAAGGAAATGAAGACTATCGAACCCATTGCTGGGTTTATTATAAGCCGACCGGGAACCCCATATCCCGGTGTTTTGCCAGAAATACTACTAGGTGATAAAACATATCCTAGTGCAGATCCAGAGGGATCCATTGAGGGAGAAAACGGAAAGGAACTAAAGGTAACGAAGACTATCGAATCCACTATTATGAACCGGCCGGGAACCCCATTTCCCCATGAAATACTACTAGATGATAAAACAATCGCTAGTACACATCCAGAAGAATCTATTGAGGGGGAAAACGGAAAGGAACTAAAGGAAGCGAAGACTATCGAACCCATTGTTGGTTTTATTATAAACCGACCGGGAACCCCATATCCCCATGGCTTGCCAAAAATACTACGAGATGATAAATCATACGCTGTTGGAGATCCAAAAGAATCCTTTGAGGGGGAAAATGGAAAGGAACCAAAGGAAACGAAGACTATCGAATCCACTATTATGAACCGACCGGGAACCCCATTTCCCCATAAAATACTACTAGATGATAAAACAATCGCTAGTACACATCCAGAAGAATCCCTTGGGGGGGAAAACGGAAAGGAACCAAAGGAAATGAAGACTATCGAACCCATTGCTGGGTTTATTATAAACCGACCGGGAACCCCATATCCCGGTGTGTTGCCAGAAATACTACTAGATGATAAAATATACGCTATTGGAGATCCAAAAAAGTCCCTTGAGGGGGAAAACGTGAAGGCACTAAAGGAAACGAAGCCTACCGAATCCACTGCTAAATCTATTACAAGCCGCTCGAAAATCCCACATCCTTATGATTTTCCAGATCCAGAACCCTTTGAGGGGCCTAACCGTAGGGAAGCCAGGAAACGCACAAAACCCATCGATCTAAACGAAACACGATCCTCAGTTGGCACCGAATCCACTGATTATAACGCAGAGTTCCTGATGAATGCCACTTTTAGCACAGATATAGAAACGGAATCTGATATGTTTCCCGACGCCGAACTGGACACATCCCTGGGCTCACTGGGTTCACTGGGCTCACTGGGCTCCCTGGGAGACGAGAAGTTCCTGAAGTATTTCAAAATTGATAGCGACATTGATCTGATTGCCGATGGTGTGGCCGATTTGGGCCAGGCCGAGATGAAGCTAATATTCTGCGAGGAGACGATGACCGACGACAATGTCGGCAAGGCCCTGAGTCAGTTGCGTCAGGTTCTCGAGGAGCGCGACGAGATTCGCGACCACACCGACCAGCTCTACCTGGACCATGCCCAACGGATGGAGGACGACTGTCGCAGGGCCCTGCGAAAGTCCACGCGCTGCCGAGATTGCGGCAAGATCCACTAAGATGTATTCGAAATATCCATAGAGATTACATAATCACGTTCTGTTTAAATGGTTTTTCAATTTTATTCAGGGTTTTCGGTTTGTCACTCAGAATGCACGTTTACAATATATCATTTTTTTTCGGTGTACTAGAGTACTAGTGGGGTTGTGGGTGTGTTTTGTGTGGGTGTTTTGGGTGTGTATTGCTGTGCTGTGCCATTTAATCTCTTAAATCATGTGTATTCTTGTATTTGCAGAGTAGTATTTAGTTAGTCTAGGAGGCCAACCGAAACATCTAGATTTGTATAACTAGCAAAAAAAAAAAGAAGTCAAATATGTTATATTAATATATAATTATACAAGATGCAGCTGCGTTTTCAGTGTATTTACAATTCGTAGCAGATTTTCGCTTGTCATTTTGGGTAACTCACTTGCAATTGCTCTATAACTCGATGGAAATTGATATACCAATTATTAGACAACCAGGTTTCGTGGAGATAATCACTTCAATTTTTGTTTTTTTCTTTTAATTTCTTGAAAAACCTTATACATTTATATTTCTAGTTCTTCAAATATTAGCTAATCTTTGCAGTGGGTCAATTTGATCGTTCAAAATAAACATTTGGATGTGCTCATGTTTTTGGCTAAAGCAATGCCGAACTTCCATCGCCTACATAACACACAATTTGTAAAACTAATAACAAATTCACTTCCGATCGTAGCGTTTCGAATTCAGATTACCCTCTCTTTGAATCATGTTTTTCATCCTTATGCATCCACTCTTAATTACAAAATATTTATGATTAATGGGGTATTTGCAAACTAATTTCTACGCATTTCACAATTCGCTTTTCGTTTATTGTTTTTTTGTTTTAAATTTTTTTTTCGTTTTTATAGCATTAAATTTAGTGTATATTGTATTGTATATATATATATAATAACTATATAATCTTTTTTTCATTTTTTACATGCACAAACTCATGAGGCCAATGTAGACAATTGTTATATTGTATCGTATTATTCGTTTTTGTTTTTTTTTTGTTATCAGCTTTCTTGCCTTTGTTTCCCTAAAAAAAAAACCTATAAGTTAAGGACTTAAGACTTAGTTTAGGTAGAACGCAACTAGAGAGACCCGCGCGGTGCTTAAATTTCGGTTTATTTTCGGGTTTATTTCTTCGTCTTCGCCCAGCAATTGTGTGGGTTAGTAGATATTTATTATAATTTATAATTGGTTGTTAAATATTCATGATCCTCGCGAGATTAGGCGGATTTCTAGATAGAGTTATTATTATGCGTTTCTGAGTTGAACAGTTGACAACAAACAATCATATATAGCTGTAGTTTTTTTTCGTTTTGTTTTTTGCATCCATATTTTATAAGTATTGTTATATATAAAAATGTGTAATATCAATTAATTGCAAATTGCCGACGTTGCTTCTAGGTGCGTTGGGGGATGTGAGGGAGGGCGGGTGTGTGTGTGTGGAGGGGGGAGATAACCGTAAACGAATACGGATGCAGATACGGATATGGTGTCCTTCTCCTCCTCCGCGTCTGAAGCTTCGAAACAACAGCGAAACTCGCTTAAACGTAGGGGGACATGTGTGTGGGGTGTTTGTTGTTGTTGGGTTAAGTTGTGTTTAGTTGTGGCGTTTGTGGGGTTTTGGAGATGTTGGTTCTCGGGGGCGGGTTGTTGACTGGTTCGACTAGGCGAGGAGCTGCCGGGCAGCTGGCTGGCTTCACATCCAATCCCATCTCAGATCTGGCCAACCAACTCCTGAATGCTGCGCAGTAGATCTTCCATATTTCACAAGAGATCCCGATGGAACACCCAGGTGTGTTTTGTGTGAGCAAACTTATGGGACAGCCACTGTGACTCCAGTAGATTGAAGCGATCTTGACTCAAATACAAAGGTTTGCCGCGCCTGCAAATGGTAGAAAAGGTTTTTAAAATCGTCTCTTAAAGCTTTAGATGGCTAACACTCACTTGAGATCGCGATCCTCCTCATCGAAGTCGTCCAGATACAGGGAGCCCCAAAGGCAGGCGCGTCGGCCGCGTATAACGATGATGTAGGTAGAGGTAACCACCAAAAAGATGCCAATACCGCCGCCACAGGATAGCGTATGCTGTTTAGATGAAACACAAGCAGGGATTAGATCATATTCAAATTTAATTAAAGCACCATCTAGTGATGACTCACCCGAACCGCCTCGCAGCAGTCGTTCTCCGCACAGCAGTTCTGCTTGAGGCACACGATCGTCCCGCACAGCAGGCAGATGGAGCTCTCCTTGGGCACCTTGTAGCAATTCAGACACGGCCGCTCGTGGTAGTACTGTCAGTAGAAAAACAACTTCAGTTATGGCACATACACAATCAATCTGGTATAGGAAAACCCACCGTAAACAGACGTTCATACTCGCGCGGCAGTTCGAGAAGTCGCGGCTGCTGCCACAGCGAGTGCTGATTGATGAGCACCAGTTCCCTGACCGTATCCGCCGGCGGACGCACTTCCATTAGCTGCTGGCACCAGAACTGCGGCAGCGTTTGCTCGGTGCCGGGTATAAAGCACAAGCCCTTGCTGGCATTGAAGCAATCCCAGTCCATCGAATCGGTGACCAGTTCCAAGTAGTAGACCAGACGCACAAACTCCAGTCCCGGTGCCGAGATCTCCGGCATCTCGTGGCGATACAGATGCTGGCGCAGCAGGGCAGCCACTCGCAGGAATGGCAAACACAGCGACTGCAGCTGTAGCTCCATGGACTTAAGGTTGACCTCGTGCGGCGAGGATGAGGAGGTAGCTGTTGCTGCGCCCGATCCAGAGGCTGTTGTGGAGGAGGAGGAGCCAGCCGCCGCGGCTGCCGCCGCCGAGCTGCTGGTGCTAGGTATACAGTCACGTCGCAAGTGAGCTAGCTCATTCGTCTGGCTCAGCACCAGGGCCATGGCCTTGCCCAACTCCGAGGAGCTCTGCTGCTGGTTGCCAGCACGGCGACGATTGTACGAGCTGCTCGTGGCTCCGGCGGGGGATTCCGGTTGTGACTCAGCGCCGGAAGTGCCACTGGCAGCGCTGTTGCTGCTGCCGTAAACTTTGAGAATGTGTTCGCACTCGAAATCCGTGAGGGTGACGCACAGCTGGACCACAATCTGGTAGTACAGCAGGTTGTACATCACCTTCACCATGCAGGTGAAGTAATCTGTAGGACAAAAAAAGCCATTACAATCAGTTAATGTAAAATATATAACAGGCAAGACTACTCACCCTGGTCCAAGTGCAGTGGCGCCAGCAGGATGAACTTGAGCAGCAATGCAATCGGATCCGCTAAGAGACTGGGAATCAGCTCGAGGCAGTGAGCCGGCAGTGGCTCTGTCTCGCTGACCGGAAGGCCGGCCAACGAGGCCCAGCTGCTCCACAGCGGCCACTCGACCAGGACTCGCACATGTACCGACAGCACGTGCAGGAGCGGCACAATGCAGTCCCTCTTTGGCTTGTACCGCGTGGCATTCGCCGAGCAGAGGGATCCGCCACGCTGGATGATCTCCGCCTCAAGGTTGGTACGCGCAATCGAGGTGACAAAGATGAACAGCTTGCGGAACGTGATGGAGGCGCACTTGACCTTGCGCTGGGCAATGTTTGTCATCACCTCCATGGCATGACCCATGGCCTCCGTTAGTTTTGTGGGCTGCTGGAAGTAAAAAGGTAAGTGTTAGGCAAATCCTCTTAAGACATCCCATCAAATAGTCAATATTCCTACCGGTATCGTCTCGTTCTCCTTGATCAGATCGGTGAGGTCGGCGACGAGACGCTCGAAGGGTTGATTACCCGAGCGGACGAGATGTGTGGGTCTGTCCAGCTGCGGACTCAGCGGCAGCACCGAGTTGGAGAGCTGCCGGCACACGGGACAATAGAACTCGCCGCGATCCTGCACCGGCTGGCGTTGGGTGGTGTACAGAGTCTTGAGGTACGCCTCCAGGCAACTGAGATGAACGTGATGGCCACACGACTGCACATGCACACCATTGTCATAGGCCATGTTGTTGGACAGATACCAGGACTCATCGCCGAATTTGAGACTAAGCAATTCGGTCCGCCTGCTAAATTCAGCGGCCAGTCGTGTGCTGTGCTTCAGTCGATCCTCATCCTCCACATTTAGTGGCAGCGGCAGTCGCTCGGCGATCCGCCGCCGATGGCCGACAATGCCACTAGACTCGACCAGGACCACCAGACCAATGGGATTTGATTCCGTGCTGGGGGTTGTGCAATTGCAGATAATGCAATCGTACTCCTTTTCGCGCGGCTGCTCCTCGTACAGCTCCTCGTCGTCCTCGTCCTCTGGCCCGTAGTCCATGTGACTAGCTGCCGCCGCAGCAGATTGCATGAACTGCTTCTGCTTGTTGGCAAAGTCTTGCATCATCTTCTGCTGGCGCTCACGTGCCTTCTTGCGGCGCTCCTCCTTCTCCTTGGTCTCGCGTGCCTTTGCTTCCGCCTGCCTTTCGCGCTGATTGGGCCAGAGTCTGGCCCGGATGTCATCAATGCTGACGGCACACTGCTCATCCTGCTTGGCAATCTTGCGCAGCAGATTACCAATGAAGAATGGACCATCGCCAATGCGGGAGGAGGATACATGGATGTTCTTGTAGTTGCGCCTGCTGCGACCCCTTTCGGCCAGGGCGGTGCTCTCGGCTGCTGCCATTGAGGTGCTGGCCTCGTTGCAGTCCACATCCATGGCGGAATCCTCGCCAGATACCTGCTCTTCGCCGTCGCTTAACGAGAAGCTATCCAGCGTGCCCGAGAGCTGTGAATGGAGCTTGAGCATCAGCGATAAGATGCTCTCGTCTAAGTGCAGTTCATCCTTGTTGCTCCCACCGATGGCGATGTCCACGGATCGTTTCCGAGCTCCACCCGACTCGTAGTTCATCCTACGCCCGGTGCCGCCACCACTCACGCCGGACGTAAAGCTTCCGCCGGCGCCCAGGGCATTCGATGGGACAATATCCATGTTGACGCTGCTGGGAACGGCCACGGGCTGAACCCTCTGGAAGGGC